TTTATAAAATTTCAAATGACATGAGCCGAATTTTTAGTTAATTTAAAATAATTTTTATTTATTAATTAGATTGAACTATTATTTAAACGTGCATTATTAGATTTATCTAATGATACCGAAGACTTTTTACATATTTATTTTCAATCAATCTTTGCATCAATTAAAATAAAAACATTTGATATTGAATTTTATGCTTATTTAGAAGATTTAAAAATAATTGATGAACAATTTGAAATAAATGATAAAAATAAATTAAATATATTATCATCTTTAAATAAATCAAAATTATTTGAAATGAATTGTTTATTAACATCAACAACAAATCCATTATTTTCATCATCATCATCTTATAATTCAATTGAGAATAATATTAATTTACAATTAAATAAAATTTTATTAAATATTAATTTAGATGAACTTTCATCAATTATTAGATTTAAAAATAATATTTTTCAACAATTAAATAATAAATCAAATTCTTCAAAAATTCAACAAACATCTTCTTCTACTACTACAAAATCGAATTCATCATCATCATCATCATTTAAAATTGATTTTCGTTTAGAAGGAATTTCTCTTTTAATTGAAAATAGTTCTTCACAAATTCTTTATATTGAATTAGAAAATTTAAATGGTTATTTATCTAAAACAAATACTCAAATATTATCTCATATAATTCTTAATGATTTTCGTATATATGATGTTTTTAACAAATCAATGTATCCATTTATTATTTTCAAAGAAAATAAATCAAATAATTTATTTTCATTTGATTTATCATTATTTAATTATTCAAATAAACTTATTAAATCATTAAAAACTAAAGATTCATATCTAAAAGGACAATTAGAAAAATTAAATATTATTTTTCTTTATAAACATCTTGATCTTATTTTATCAATAATTAATTTATTTCAAACAAAACAAAATAAATTAAAACAAGAAGATATTCCATCAAATGAACCAAATTTTCTTCTATCAATTTTACAAAAATATCAACAACATTCCATTGAATTTCATATAGATTTTATATTAAATGCTCCTCAAATACTTATTCCAGTTAATTCATATTCAAATCAAGCTATTTTTATTGATTTAGGAAAATTATCAATGTATTCTGAATCAAATCAACAATATAAAATTATATTTGAAAATCTTTTAATTAATCGTATTATATTAAATAATGAAAAAAAATCTTTAAATTTATTAGAATGTTCACCATTTCAAACATTAATTAATCGAGATTTTAATTCTGATAATAAAGAAATTTATATTAAAATTTTCTGGGATACAATTCAATTTAATTTATCTAAATATGATTATGCTTTTATTAATAAAATATTTCAAGAAAATTTTCAAGAAAAAATTTTTCATAAAATTCCACAAATTCAAATTATTGAACAACAAGATCAAGATAACAAACAATATGATTCAACATCTAAACTTCCTATGAAAAAACAATCGACATCAAATGAAATTTCATTAAATATTCAATTAGATTTTCAAATTAAACAAATTAATTTAACACTTTATCTCGATGAAATCGATCTTAATAATTCACAACTATCTAGAAATGAAAATAATAAATTTATTTATTTAACAATTCAATTTATTGAAGCACAATTTAAACAATCAACAAATATAAATTCTCAAGGAAAAATACAAATTCAACATTTATTTGCAGATGATCTTAGACAAAATAATCGAAATAAGAGTTTTGTACGTCTTATTAATAAAGGTTTTAATGTTGATCAAAATGCACCATTACTTATTATTACTCTACAAAATAAATCATCTAATCGTACAGGTAAAATCATTTTTCTTTCTATCGATATTATCTTTTCAACAAAATCGATCATCAAATCAGAGATTAACAACATATACAAAAAGACATTTTTTTAAAGTGTCTTTTAGTATATTGTTGATCTTCTGTCATATTTGATGTATTTCCGATTTCCTTAATAATAAGAAATTATTTTTTGATAAAATTGATATATTTAAATATATTTTAATTAGTTAATGGTGAAATGGAAAGTTTTTATATATTGATAAGTCCAGATATGATAATTTCTATGAAAGAATTTTTTACTTATATAATTCCATCTGATGATGATGAAACAAAATCTAATATATTAATGAAATCAAATGATCTTCAATTAAATCTTCCATCTCCAGCTAAATCAATATCAAAATATAAATCATTAGATCATCAAAGTTCTTCTTCGTTGACAACAAGTGAAGATAATCAACGTATTTAATAGTTTACTTTTTTTTCTGCTCTGATTGAATAAACAAAAAAAATGATTTATTTAGCTCGACGAAAACGTTCTACTGGATCTGATATTGAAACAAATATGAAAATCGAAGTTAAACCATCACAATTAATATTACTTGAAGATCAAAATAATAATAATTCGAATTGTCTTGTACTTAATGTAAGTTGAACTTCAAAAAAAAATAAATATTTAAAAAAAAAATGTAAATAAAGTTTTCATTTTTAATGAAATTGATTAATAATGATGATGATACAAAAATTTCATCTTTCATAAAAGATTTAACTTTTTATGGTTCAACGTTTCAACAATTAAAAGATTCAAAAGTGAAATATTCTGTATGAAATTTTATTTTAATTTCAATAAGATTTTCTGAAAAGATATTTTTTTTTTTTGAAAAGATTTTACAACGTTCTGAAATAAATGCAATAATTATAATGAATTCTGATGAACAAAAAATCGATTTAAATATTGGAGATTTAAATATTAATATTGATCCAGCACTTATTAAAACATTTGCTAGTTTATCAAGTTCAATTAATAAAAAACAAGAAGAAATTAATTCAAAAGAAGAAAAAGAGAAAACAAATTCAAAATCAATATTTGATCCAAAACCATTTAAAGATTCAATTTTTTGGTTTATTCAAAGTATAAAATGATATTTTTCAAAGAGAATTTTTTTTTTTTTATTATACATTTTAAAAAGATTCGGAAGAAAAAAAAGAATTAATGGAAGATACAGATTTATTAGAAATAACAACAGGTTTACCATCACAAAAGAAAAATGAATTAAAACAAAAACAAAAAGAAAAATCTATTCAAAAATATCAAAATCTTTCTCAACAAGTAAAAACAAAAAATCATCTTTTCATTTTTTTCTATTCAATATTTTTTAGTTAATTGTTAATTTAAAAATAATTCAAATTCAACTTGAACTTGGCAAAGGTGATACAACAAGACCAGTTGTTGCTCTTTGTTTATCAAATATATTTGGTCAAATTGAAAATTGGTCAACTGATGTAAAATTTTATAATTATATTAAAATATTTATTAGATTTTTGTTATATAGATTCTTGTAAATTCATCAGTTCAACTTGAATTAGCTTTATTTAATGATCATTTACTTGCATGGGAACCATTAATTGAACCAATTATTGATGAACGTGGAATTGTTCAATGTCCATGGACAATTACTTGTGAAACTCTTCAAGTATTGAAATTTTCAATATTTATTTATCTTAGTTTTGTTTTGTTTTTTCTTTTTTAAATAGGATAAAGAAGATGAAAATGATCCGAAGGTACAAATATATTTACATATTATTTAGAATCATTTAAGATCAAACTCTTTTGACTAAAATTTAAGATTTAAGTTCATTTAAACTTTCGTAATCTCATAGATTTCGTACTAAATTATTTTCTCTTCGAATCCTGTCTATAATAAAGACATAAATTTAATAATCACAAACTCGATTTATTTGAATTCATTTCTCTATTCATCTATGTAACAAGACAAAATAGAGCGCATCCTTTTTTTTCTCAACTGAAAATTCTTCATTGAATTTTCGAAATATTAATATATAGTATCTTCTCAGATTGCAAATGGTAGAATAATTGTTCAATAAACAGATTTATATTTATGATATACATTTCTTTCTGCGTCACTTGTCTTTTCGCCTACTTCTATTACTCTAAAGTATATGAATATTTCAGAGCTGTAATCAATAGGATTTTTTTCCTTAACGGTACTGGTGCCAGTCTAATTAGACAGATCGACCGATTACAATTCTCCGATATTTGTTCAACTTTCAATTCAACATAAAAAGCTGTTAGCGCAATCTCTTACGGGGTTAAAAATATGAAACACAATGAATCTATTGTTACTAATTAAATGGAACAAAATGATTTCCATTTCTTTGAGATACATTTGTAGCTAAACGTTTATCTGATACTTTAGAACTACAGTTTCTCTGTCACGATTTGTCAGGGTAGGGAGAGTGGGTGCAAAATTTCTACCCTATATACTTCAACACTCCTTTCAGATTGTGTTTCACAAAAGGACGGATCGATATAGAAGAGAGGCATTACATAACAGTATATCAATAAATATGGGCGATTAAGCATAGATATCAGCAATGTGTTCAAACAATAACCTAGAAATAAAGATATATATATATATCTATAAAAGGATAAATATAAGAATAAAGATTTGCGCATAGTTAGAAACAAGTATTGAGAGAACACAGCTGAGCTAAATAATATTATGTTCAATGTAGCCTCACGTTTGAGATAAGGTATTCCTCACAAGGTAGGATCCGTTAAGACTAGAAAAAGTCTAGAAGGCTCTATGCCCATGCGCTGTTCTTCTGAAGTTCAAGTCATTCTACTGGACTTTTTATCCTTGTTAAGATACTTAGAAAAGTCGAACAAACTAATAACCAGTAAAATGGCTTGAACTTCAGAAGAACAGCGTATGGATGCAAAACCTTCTAGTTTCAGTAGACTCTATTTTATAAGGAATGTTCAGTCTTAAAGGCAAGGTTACATCTCGGAAGGTTCCTCGTCAGTGAACTTGTAAACGGAAGTAAAATAACTTTGATAATTCTGGTCTTATCTAAGTATAATAAAGTGAAATTAATTGATTAATGAAATATTTAAATAAATGAATAAACTTTAGTGTCGATATTTATTACATGATGAGAACGATTCATCTTCAACAGAAAAATCTAAAGAAACACAAAGTACTGGAGCAAATCTTGATGTTAAAAAAGTAATTTTTATTCGTGCTGAACATTTATTAAATATAACATTAACAAAAACAACTCTTGATCTTGGTCAACGTATACAAACAATGTTTAATGAAGCTTATAAAAAAGGATCATCATCAGATGATGATCAAGAACAAGCAATGTTAACAATACTTAATCAAACTGGTTATCAAATTAATATTGAAGATATTATTGGAATTGAGGTAATGTTTTTTTTTAAAATTATTCTTAAGATTAGTTTTGTTTTTTAAATTAAAGTTTCCTGATGGTAAAAAACCAAGAGATAAATCATTAGAATTAAAAAATAATGAATCACTTCATTTAACAATTCCTGAAGAAAGATTATCTGCAACACATCTTCCTGCTATTGCTGAACAAGTTGTCAAAAGAAAACAACAATTTAATGTTCAAGTTAGATTAATAAATATATAAATTGTTTCTTAAATAAAATATTTTTTTTTAATAGATTAAAGATCGAAAAGTAACAGTCGATATAAATCAAACATGGAGAAGAGTTTATGATTTATTTCCATCATCAAATCCTTCATGGCCAGTTCAATTACTTTGTGATTCACAAATATATCAAGAAAGAAGAAGAGTTGTTCTTAGTTCAATTATTAAAGTATTTGTTTTTTTTTTAATTTTATATTTAAATTTATTTTCTATTCATAAAAACAAAAGATATCAAATCGAACACAAATGCCATTAATTGTATCAGATCCTGATTCAGTTGAAACAAATAAATTTAATCATATTGCAAAAATCGATGTAAATCAAGAATATTATCTTCCTATTGAGGTTCTTTATTTGAGAATTACTCCAAGACTTTATTTTGCTATTCAACAGTAAGTATCGTAGTTCCATTCAGAGTTACCAAATAGTGAGGGAATAGCGGGGATTTTTCTTTCACCAAAAATGTTGAATTTTCTGCAAGATATTTTTTATAGTCTTATGAAAAATCCTAATAGAAAGAAAGTTTTAGCAATTTTAGCTCTATTCTCGGCATATAGTAATATGAAGATGATTTTCGGCAAAAACAACCGATATTTTTAGTATTTTTTGTTTTGTATCTGTCAAAAAATCGAATGAAGACATTCACTGCTGTATTCTTCATCTCTCTCTCTCTCACTTCCAAAAACAATCAGCAAGCCTGGTTTCATCGAATTAATTCTTTTTTTTCTTTTTATTAATGACACCAAACACATATTTCTATAAAGTAGTGCATAAACGCATAGATTTCTAGTACAAGTGATAATCTTCCGCTATCACAACACAATGAACTATAGAAAAAGTTACCATTGTCGCCATAGGATTGATAAAATAAAACATCTCCCACATTGTCATAGTACAAAATAAGATACTACTACTCGTTAATAACCGTACATTATTGTTTGCAATCGTACTGACATATATTTTTTCTCATTGAAGAGACGAACGACTGTCGATTCCACTTCTTTCTCGTACACATCCAAAAATTTTTTGTTTATCTATTTGTATAAATACTTAGTGATCTTGTAGATAAAATTTATTCATTTATACAACTGTTACTATTGATTTTTTATTGGATAATTGACTGCTATTGAATTTTCGGCACTCCACTAATGTAACATGAGGGTGTGGGTGTCGTTGTTTTCTCACCCACACCCCACCCTAGTTTGAAACATCAGTAGACAAAAATTGTTTTTTTGTATACATTTAACATTTTTAAAATTATTTTGAACCTGAAATTTCTGAAGTATTTTTCTCTTTGTTTTCAAAGACTAAGTTGACGTGTTTAAGAAAAATCTATATGTTAATCTGAAAATTTCCTAACCGCATAATAGTATTATTTTATCGTTTATCAAGGATGTAACTTGTTTTATTATCATTCTGAGCTTTCTATAAGTCGTAAAGAAATGTTTATGAAACAAATGAAGAAGACTTTATGAAACGGTAGAATATTGATAGATAAACGTCATTCAAATGAAATAATTTTTTAAAAAGAAAGAATATTCTTAATTTCAGAGATGATTATAATAATGAAATAAATGATTTTATATCATTTGATTGGACTAATGAATCAACAACTGATCGAGTTTTAAGATTAAATAATGGAACAAATGGTCATTTTGTTGTATGTATTTTATTAATTAAAAATAATTAAATTAATATATTTAATAAAGGTATACAAAGAAGAAATCGAGACATATTCAGAAAATACAGATGAACCAATACGAAAATCATTTAATATATATATTAAATTGGCTCTTCATTTATTAAATTTATTACCAATACCAATTGAATGTTCAATTGATGTTTGAAAATTTAAATTTAAATTAATTTAATTTAATTTATTTTTTAAATAGAATATTGAAAATGTAATATTAAAACCAAGTGAATTATATCATTGTATACAAGGAAATAAAAAATCAATTCTTATATTTCGAGTAACTAATTTTTGTTTGAAAATCTTTAAATAAAATTTATTTAAATAGATTTCATCATATTTAAATGGATCATGGATATCAGAACCTTGTGATTTGAATGTTAAAGGTCATGGAACTCATAATGAATATATTATCAAATTTCATGAACTAATTACAGATGAAACTATAGTAAGAAAATTAAATATTAAAAAAATATTTAAGAAATATAAATTATAGAGAATGATTTTACGTGTTGATACATATCGTGGTTCATATCGTGCTTCATTTTATTCTCCATTTTGGATTATTAATACAACTGATCTTAAATTTCAATTTAAGGTTTTTTTTATTTCATTTATTTTAATTTTAATTTTTTTGTTTGTATCATATTTAGATTGATAATGATAAAACATTTATTGATTCAATTGATAAACCAATTTTTATTTGTCCAAATAAATATCATAGTGATTCAAATAAAAAAAAGGTTCAGTTTTTAAAAAAAAATCTTATTCATAATACTAAAATAACATAAAAATATTTCAATTAATAGGGTTATATACGTTTAGTTAATATCAACGAAGATGAAAGTATATCTCAATGGTCCGAAGGATTTTCACTTAATGTTATCAAAAGTACTGGAATAACTTCTTGTAAAGTAACCGATGATAGAACATATATGGTAAATAAATTAATTTTATCTAATACATTTCCGTGAAAGTCTATGGACTTTGTTATATGATGACAGAAAACTCTATACAAAAAAAATACTAATTAAATCATCAGTGAGACTTCAATACTCTGAAGTACGAGTGATGTCACTGATACTTCAGTAATCTATTTATGTTTTATTCATCGAATTAGTTTTATAAATAATTTGTTTAAAAGGTTTGTATTGATATTGTAACTTGTTCATTTGGTATGACTAAAATCATAACACTTGTACCATCAACAACGATTATTAATAATTCATCAGTAAGAGTTTTTTTTTTTTTCATATTAAATTTCTTTAATTTAATAAAATGAAAATTTAGTTTGATATTGAAGTTGCTGAAAATGTATGTGGAAATTATGAAGACAATTGGAAAGTAATTAAAGCTAATCAAGTAAATATTTAAATTTTATTTAAAACAAAAAAAAAACCTGAAAATATTTTATATAAAGATGATTCCATATTGGCCACGTTATATAAAAGAAGGTGTTATGTTTGTTCGTTATTTGAGTAGAAGTTTATCTGCAAGTTGTTTTTCAATAAAAGATAAACATCGAACATTATTACGTATGGATGATATTGAACATCCTGCACTTCATGTTGAAGTAACAGCAACAGATTATGATGGATTTAAAATTAATTTTTCTGATTATAAAATTGGCGATGCTCCACTATTGATTGTTAATTCTTTATTAAATCAATCAATATCATTTTGTCAAAAAGAAGATTTGTATGTTTTTTTTAAAATTTTGTTTGATTAAACAAATTTGTTTAAAATAGACATACACAAATATTACCTCCACAATATTATGTTTATTATACATGGAATGATCCATTAAAACCACAAGAATTAATTCTTACAACTAATAAAGATAATATAACTATAAAACTTAATGTAAGTGAAATTTTCTTAGGATAAAAACATCAAAATGAGAAATTCGAATTTATTTAATCAAATCGACTGACACGCACTCCGAAAACGATCATGTTTTAGTTAGACAAGCTTATAAACGATTTTCAGATCGAAATCAGCAGGTCGTAAATGGCTTCTTTAGAGAGTTTTTCGGCCGTTTTCTAGGCACAGTACTACGATCGGATACTTTACTCTAAGATCATTTGACGGTCGTTTTCAACTATTAGCGACATAGGTTAAATGCTGCGCCTATCAATCGTTAATTTACGACCACATACATTATCATATTTTTGTTCGTTCTCGATCAGTGTAATCATTGTTTGCAATATTCAATCAAACAAGTAACATTCATCGACATCGAAGGAGGATTCATTGAGCCCTAGACTGACGGAATGATGACAAGCAGATGGTTGTATTTTTGTGATCATTTGTGGCACAGAAATGATCAATTGCATCAAGCACTTGTTACAGACACAGGTGAATTACGGTTTCTACACCCTAGCCTTTCAGTCTAGGGAATAAAAAGTTTTATTTGAAATAGAAACTATAAATGATATATCTACTATGTATTCAATTGATTTCCTAAATTCAAATAAAACACATTGGATATTGTTCAATGAACTAAAATAAATTAAAATTAGATTAAATAAAAAGCCATTAGGACTGCTGAAAACGGTATTTGTCTATACAATGAAGATACTGTTTCCTGTTCTCGATTAGTTTCGATGGGGTTCAACAATTCCATTGAACCGTGAAGAGTGCTGAAAAACTATATTATTCGTTTTTTTGTTTTTGTTTGAATTATTTAAAAACAAATGATCATATAAAGAACGAGAATGACTATTTCTAATAATGAATTTGTGATAGATTTCCGAAATTTATTTTTTAAGATAGAAAAAAAAAAGATAAGAAGTATCAAACAGATATATCCGACGTAAATGACAATTTCTTCCAGGCCAAACAATCAGATAGTAGAGTCTTACAAGACCATATATTTGATCTTTTCTCATCTTGTAAAATCGTGCTTCATGCAGTCTTATAGTAAGTTCTACTAGAAGATTGTTCAAAAGATTTTCTCCTTTCACAAGAAATCATTGAAGAATTTTCTAGTAGTAGGACTTAGTATAAGACTACGTGAACCACAATTTTACGTACGACTTCTGTCTGATTTTGCAAGTTTTGATATCTGATTTCTTTTTTTTTGTCTTGGTCTTGATCAAATATGATTAAAAATCTCATTACTTTGTTTCTCTCTTCTACAATTGAATAAAAAACGAATTTTAAAATTGATAAAATGATTTCCTTTCATG